ATCTTAAATATTAATTCTTTATGGAAACATGAAGTATGTAATTTATTACAATGTTAAGTTTATTTTAATTTATTAATATTATTATATATTATATACTATAACTTATAATTTATCAAAAATTTATTATGATAAAAATTATAATTTACCTTTCTAATATATTGCGTAAAATCGTATATTAACATCGTATATGCACTATTTAGGTGATAATGGCATGCCTCATTTGCTGCACTGAGGACAACAACTTGATTATCTCCAAAAGAGTCGCTGGTCTGCAAAATGCTAGTACATTGCGGGGAAATGGATTGGGTTTGAAATTGGGAAACGATACCGACAGTTTCATGACCCATACTAACTGTATCAAAACATATTGTTCAAAAGCACATACTCAAAAATTTGTTGCTAAGCACCAACATGAACACGAGCAAACTCTGCTTTTAGAGTCAGCTGAAAAACGTTTGAGAGGGAATGATTCTTTTAACTTCCTTTTTAATTGCTAATTCTGTGGAGAAAAATGCTTGTTAGAACGAGACAAAAAATACCCTGATCAATGGAGAGCGGAAATTAATTAGACCAGTATGTAAATGTCCAGTAGACAACTACTACAATGTTCACATATAGATGGAAAATTTTTTAGATAATTGCAGCGAAACACTGATGACTTTGCTCGCAGCAATTTCTTCAGATCTGGACTACTCAAAACCTGCATCCATGATAGGTAATATTGTTACAAGTACTGTCATGAAGCGTTTTATTTCATTACATTTAATTTTGAGTGTCCAACTAGGTCAACTTTGTAGATACGTAGACCAGTTCCATTCATATGGTGTCACAGCCAGCTACAATAAAGTTCGACGGATAAGAATATCTTCAGCATCATCAGCAGCGTTAGTTTGACGTTACGCATATTATTCATTTGTTATTGTTTATATTTAATTTCAATTACATTTATAGGTGAGAATGGAGTCACTCAGTGGAGGATGAGCTATTATTGACATAAATTAAACCATAAAACAGCACGTCTCTATCACCAATAATCTAATTTCTGCACACGTACTAACAGGATGTGTTAACGTGTTAGCTTTTTCGGGCATTGGCAAGGAACTGTTCTTAAACATTTGACAAAATTCAAAGACATCCTTGATTTGGGCAATACAGTGTCTTCAATCGATGAAGCTATTGGTTCTTCAGAAACATTTTTGCATCTTTATACGGTAGAAATCAAGGCGAGAGGTGGAATTCAATGCATTCTGCAATCTTTTTAAGGAAAATGTTGGGAAAACAACACGTAACACCAAAGCTACGCAGTTTGCCACCAACACAGGCTCTATTCAGACTTCACTGTTTCAGAGCACACTTCAAAACGGTGATTTGGAGATCTGCTAATTTACCTGATCCACTTTCCATGGACCCTCATTCATAATTTTGAATTTGAAAGCTTACACAGCAAATAGTCTTATAACAGCCATGTAATACAATATATGTTTAAATTTTGTTATCATATACATGTTATCTTAACTAAGTAATTAAGAAACTAACAAAATAAATTTGTTCGTGAAAATAGAATATAGTGAGTGATGGGTGAAAGTGCACTGCAAGATGTTTTAGATATATTCAAAAATCAACTTTTTTGGCGGCCATTTTGAACTTTTTAATTATTTTGGCGGCCATGTTGAATTTAAATCAATGTAAAATAGATGAAAATGTAATCTTTCCTACTATTTATATAATTTTGAAAACATTATATAGCTTTGTATACAATTACAAGTCGATTTAGGAGAATTTGTATATTTGGCCGCCATCTTGGAAAAAAATCGGATACCATAAAATGCCCAACAGATGGTGTCTGGCTCGCAACGGATTTGGATTCCTCAGGTCATTTTACTTTAGGAACCATTAAACTTTATATATGTCTCAAAACGACGTGCCAAAAATATTACCTGGGCCGATGCTCAGACTATTATTTATTTAAATTCATTTATTTATTAATTGCACAATTTTTAGAATAATAAACTATGCCAGTTGCAATAAGAAGTGTTTCAAGCAGGTACTATCTTGATGGGCGTGGTGGTGAAACAAACCCATTAATGACAAATAGAGATCCACGTGGGGATGTTTACCTAAATTGGAACATTGAACGTTTGCCAAATGGTAATTATGTTATTAAAAGTGTTTCCAGTGGAAAATATCTTAATGGAAAAATTCTACAACTTGATCACGTTCACAACCATCATCATCTTAGTTCTCACGATCATCTTCAATGGCAGTTTATAAAAGTGAATGATCGAGATCAATACGCAATCAAAAGCGTTTCAAGCGGAATGTACCTTGATGGAAGAGATGGTAATCCCGATCCACTCCTGACTTCTCGCAATCCTCATGGTGACGCTTATCTTAATTGGACTTTAGAATATATCCTTTGATGAAGATCATTTTATTATTAGTTTAAAGTTACATGTAACTTAAATTAATCAAATAAATAAAATGTTCTGCGATTTACGACACTAGCTTTTTACTAGATAAGTTTTAACTAATTTTGAGTAGATTCACTAGGAGAGATTTGACCAGTGTACACTAGATACAGTAGTGTATGGAAGATTTCCATGTGTATATTAGTAACTGAGTTTGTTTCACTTTATTATTATTTTTGTTATTTAAATGTCATGTAACAGTGGTATTTACAATTAGGTAGAAGTTTTTTCAATGTTTTGAAAACTCTGCGTTGGGGATGAGGGGTTTTGATTTTGTAATAAATAAGGTGTACGTACGCAGAAGGAGGAAGGGGAGGGGAGAAAGGTCTAAAAGAATACAGATGCGTATAAGAGGAAAGGGTGTCCTATATGAGTTGTTTTACTGCGTACGTACTTTATGGATGACCCCCTTTGTTTATATGCAAGTAAAGTAAAAATATTTGTTATAAAATATTGTTTATTATTTCTATTTAATCCCACACTCTCACGCATTTTTTTTCTGCTCTTTTTTCCTAATAGTTCATTAGAAGCAATGCTCCACAAAACAGTAGGCTTTTTTATACAAGTACCTGTAGCACTTCTAGTAAATGGTGCATTTAATTAGTATCTAAACTAAGTGAGAGTAGGATTTTTATACCAACGACCAAGGCTGCTCTGCCAAAGTATTTCTCCGTGGTTTCTTGAGTAAAACGTTCAGTCAAGACAACACTAGTAAGTAACAATTATTTTGCCTAAAATAATGAATTCGCAGTTATTTGTAGCCGTTTGTATGTTTGTAAAGAATAAGCCTTTTTTCACTTTTATCTTGGTTGAAATTATCAGGTCTTTTATTAATATTTCCACGCCAAGTTTCAAAGCATTTAAAAAAAGTGTTCTTGAGCCAATTAAAGCAAATATTATTGACAGCGCGATGGGGAAACAAAAAACATTTTCTTTTTAGAATGTTTTCAATTTGATTTTGAATCAATCAAAAAAATTATCCATATATTTACATAACTGAGCTGTTACGCTACTTTCAGGTGAATAATTTCACCTTAAAGTAACAGAAAGTAGCTGAATGTATATTAAGATGGAATTCCCGAACAAAACTAGCTGTTTTAGCATTTATTAATTTACCAGAGAGAAGAGACTCACTCTTCAACATTTGTTTCATAAGATTCATCTCTTACAGATGGGTGGACCATTGGTTTACAGTTCAAATACAATGCAGATGATTATCAAATTGTAGCAGCTTAATTTTTTAATAAATAAGTATAAAATCACATAAAATATAATGTAAAATAGAACATAAAAAGAGAGATTTTATTACATAAAATGTAATGAAATCTCTCCTAGTAAATCTAATAATTATATGTAGAAGCTTTCACGGTCACAAAAAAGCGTTAAACTCATTGAAAAATCAGAATCCATCGAAGCTAAAATTGCCAAGTCTTGATGTTATTATATATTTGCAATCATATTATTTATATATATATATATATATATATATATATATATATATATATATATATATATATATATATATATATATATATATATATATATATATATATATATATATACATATATATATATATATATATATATATATATATATATATATATATATATATATATATATATATATATATATATATATATATATATATATATATATATATATATAACGTAACAGAATTCACACTTTGTAATGGCTAACTTTTTTAACGCAACACCGGAATCTGAATTTTGAATTTCAGCCGGAACCGGATTTTAATAATATTCCGGCCGCAATTCCGACCAGAACAAGATTCATATTTATATCATTTATTACCTTAAAAATTAAAATGGAAGCCTCAGCATCGTGAGCATGCACCTCAGCATCGTGGCTATATAATATATATTTATAACCTATAATATATATCTATATAACCTTGTTTGTTAATTTGATTTTTTCTTTCATTTAAACGTAATATATTGTTTTTATAATTTTATGTATTGAAAGTTTTAACCTGCATAATAAAAATAAAAAAAAACCTGCATAATTTAAAGTTATTACTTTTTTTTTTTATTTTTCCATTAAAATTTAAATATTGCTTGTAATAGGAACCCTATATATTTTAACTATTTAAAACTTAAGTAACAATTAAAATAAGATTCTGAGAGGTATTTTTGATAAAAAAGAGTTTGTTGCTTAAAACTAGAGAGCAACTTTTTTTGCACCATAATATTCCTAAACTTCCAGAAATCCTTTCATAATTAATTATTTCCTTTTATTGTAAATTAATTTTTTTGTTTTGTTTTGTTGTTTTGTTTTGTTTTTTTTTTTTTTTTTTTTTTTTATTGCGTAAATTTTACTTTTATATTTGTTGTATCGCAAAATTTTTTAACGTTTTAACAACAAGACTTCTTACAAATCTACGCATACTTTTGTTTCTTATTAATAATATTTACATTTAATTTTTATTATAATTTTCTGTTGCACTTTTTAAACTTTATATATTTTTTAAGAAATCCTGTTCAAAATATATTAAAGAACAAGAAACAAGAATCTGGACCAAACATAATTATTTAGATTGATGTAAAACACTATAATTGTATTATTGCTTTTATAATGAGATAGCTACTTCTTTATTTCCGTTAACAATTTTCAGATTTTTAATAAACCCAGATTGTGGGGCGTACCAAGGATCGGAAACATATACTTTAACTTCTTTGTACACACGTGCGTCTTTATTGATTTCAGAGATTACATTTTTTCCATTGATAAAAACGCGGTAGACAAATTTCCCTTTATAACTTGTTTGCAGTATTTTAATGGAATGCCATTTATTTAACTGAAGCGGGTATGTATTCTTACAACGATTACGATTACGACTTATAGCTGAGCATATGTGTAAACTTCCGGTTCCACTTTTATGAAACCAAACACCTGGATTTCGGTCACCATAAAGAACATTGTTTCTTCCAGTAGTAAAATGAATGACGTTTTTCCAACCCTTACTAAATGAAGTAGGATTAAGATCAAATGATACAGAGTAATCTTTCTCCATGAACTTTAAGATTGTGACAAGTTTTCCTCTTGTAAATAGCTGGTTGGTAAACTTGAAGAAGTCTATATAAAATTTCAAAAAATAGAAATCAAATTAAAGTCACTATAAAAACAAAAATGAAAACATTAAAGTGAATAGAAAGAAGGGGAGGGTAAAAAAACTTAATTCCCGTCTCAAACCATTGTATATTATTTTTGATTCTAAACTGAATTATGTTTTCTACAGTTAAAATAAAATTAACCTTATTTTCAAGAAAAGATATTACCTGCAATCTTGTTAGACATAATTGCGCTAATGTAATCAAATTTTATCTTGTCATTTTTTTTATTGTAAGAAAAAAAAAGTTTAAATATATGAATGTAGTGATATGAACAAAAGCAGTGGTCTGAATGAATGAATGTAGTTGTATGAGAAATGAATGTAGTGGTATAAAGGAATAAATGTAGTGGTCTGAATGAATGAATGTAGTTGTATGAAGGAATGAGTGCAGTGGTCTGAATGAATGTAATTGTATGAAAGAATGAATGTAGTTGTACGAAGGAATGAATGCAGTGGTCTGAATGAATGAATGTAGTGGTATGAATGAATGCAGTGGTCTGAATGAATGTAGTTGTATGAAGGAATGAATATAGTGATATGAAAGTTTAATAATTTTATCAATAGTTTCACTTTTTAGTTTTTTGAATTAGTATGCATATTAACCACCAGTTTACTAACATCGGTTCCGTAAAATTTGAAAGTTTAATTATATGACTTTGTATGTAACTACACAGTCAAATACTGGATCTTCACTCTACGTCTTAGTTCTAGAGCTAAAACTGAAAGCTTTAAAAAGTAAACTTTCCTTGTTGTAAATGTATTTTCTTGCCGTTAGATGAAAAAACATTTGAAAATTATTTAATAACTATGTGTAACTTTTATTTGACTATGAATAGGGTTACATGCCCGCACGTGAAGAGGCGGGGGGGGGGGGAAGATTAGTTGTCTGCAAATTACAAATAGTGTCAGTTTCTTTCAATCGAGTATTGATGTAGAAAAACAAGAAGAAAAAAAGTATGTAAAAAGGTTAGTTCGCATTTAAGTTCAAAAGTTTCTCAAGTTAAAAATAATATTCACCTTTTATATATCACTTCACCTATACTCCGTTAATTTAAAGCTCTCTTTAAATAATAATTTTCTCCAAGCATTTAAATGTTATGGGTGGATTAGACTTGAAAAGTTAAAAGTATTTTTAAAAAAAAAAGAGAATGTTGACAATCATTACAAATGTTATTTGTTTTTTATCGTTTAATATGCTCTGCATAAATTTCTTAACAAATGTCAATAAAAAAAGCTAAGATAGAAAGATTCATGTTGAAGTTGAAGAACTGTAGAAAGATTCATGTTGAAGAACTGTAGAAAGATGTGCTTTGTCTCATTCAGTTAATTTTCTAGCCAAATCTAATTCAACTGATTTGCAACTTACGCAAGTTTTAAATTATCTGGATGCTTTGGGAGTCTCTTTTATAGATGTGTATATTTGTCTAGTTTTTTTCCTCGAGCATCAGTTCTTTGAAATTCGCTCCCGTCATCTTGTTTGCTTGGTTCATATAATTTTCAATCTTTTAAGTCGTCTGTTAATTATTATTTTTCTCTATAAACTTCATCTTTTCTCTTCTAGTAACTTCCAACTCTAACAGTGGTTGCTTGCAGCCTTGTTGGAAGTGAAAATCTTGAAAAAAAGTACATAATGTCCAAACACAATTATTTAAAGAAATATATTTTAGACCCTATTAGTAATTCCATGCCTATATGATTGGAAACAAAGCTATAGGAAATTGTTAGTTTATCTATTTTGACATTATTTGCACCAAACTTCAATATGGTTCAATATGGTTCTTTAATAATAGTTCGTTGCACAAATTTAAACAAAAGAGTTAAGTATGCAAAAATTACTTTTAATATATGAATCAGTGTTTTTTGAATAGGTTTGCTTAAAAATTCTTGAGCAAATCCGCAATTTTAAAAAACACTGATTCATATTAAAGTTACTACATTGCTAACTTCGACTATCCTTATATAGATTATAAAAATTTAATAAATAACATCACGCTAACGTTCATTTTGATCTTCTTTTAGTTTCAAAAATAATTTATTGAAATTAAAAAAAAATGAGCTAGGGGCAAAGATATATATATAAAAAAAAAAAACACATAGAATTCAACATAAAATGTAAATACAGGTTGGAATAATTTTTCTAATGTGTTGAAACTATTAGCTTAAAAATTACTTAACACCTAAACAGTAAAATTAACGACAAAGCTACTTTGTACGATAGCATTGACACAACAAAAAAAATATAATGAGCTTTGGCAAATACTTTACATACTGGTCTAACTTAGCTTTGAACTTGTTGACTCAAGAGCTATATATATATATATATATATATATATATATATATATATATATATATATATATATATATATATATATATATATATATATATATATATATATATATATATATATATATATATATATATATATATATATATATATATATATATATATATATATATATATATATATATATATATTCATATATATATATATTCATATATAAATAATAATAAAGTATTAATATATATAGTAATAAAGATTGTAAACATTTTAGTTTTTGGTACCATTCCAATAGCACAAAAGATTTTATCTACTTTAAAATATAAAATAATGTTTATGTAATTAACTTAATTTTTTTTGTTTATTAGTCACAAGTTATCTCGTGAAGTGTTACATATTGAGTGCATTAAAAAATAAAAGTTTTCAAATACCTCGCAATAGCTCCTAATTTATTTTATATAAAAAATTACATTTATTTATATTTATTTAAATTATATTTATCTATATTAAACTCATTTATCTAAATTATCTATATTGACTATATAATCTATATTTATACAATATATATAAATATATTATCTAAATAAATAGATAATATATATATAAAAATATTATCTATTTATCTATATTAAACTCATTTATCTAAATGATATTTATCTATATTAAACTCATTGTTTCTTTGACTCAATCAATTATTTAAACATTTAAAAACTAAAAAAAAATTTAAACACGCAAGTTATATTTTTACTAAAAAATTTACCTGGTTTTCCATTAGCAATGTGCAAATTTCGAATAAATCCTGATTGAGCACGATGCCATGGATCAGCTGCATATACTTTTACATTAGCAAAATCTTTTGCGCCTCTATTCACTTCTGAGAAAATATTTTCGTTGTTGAGATAAATTTCAAATATGTACAATCCTTCTAAAAGTTTTTGAACAACCATAACTGAATGCCATTTATTTAGCTGAAGTGATTTTGTAGTTTTACAACGGTTCCGATTCCCACTAATCGCTGAGCAAAAAAGTAATCTTCCATTTCCGTCACGGTGAAACCAAACTGCGGGGTTTCTATCTCCATATTTCAAAAAGTTATCACCAACAGTTAAATGAATTACGTTTGCCCACCCTTTTTGGAAAGAGCTTGGATTTAATTCAAATGAGACAAAATATTCTTTCTTTAACAATTTTAGAGTCGCAACAAGATTCGATTTTTTTATCACATTTTCTTCTTTTATTATTAGCGGTTCAGATGGTTCGATAGTTAAATTTTTGGAATCCGGAATAACTGGTTCAAAATAAATATTACTTTTTTTTAACAATTGGGATAGAATAAAAATAATTATATTAAAGAATAAGCAATAATTTTTTATATGATAATAAGAAATAAAACAACACAACTTACTTTTACAATCGTCTAAAATGCACTCAACAACTTCATGCAGCTCTCCAATACAATCTTTACCAGCTCCACTGGGAATAGGATTAGTACAAGTTTTCTCTCTTTCTTTAGTTCCAGTTCCACATTCTACAGAACATTCCGAAAATTCGCTCCATTCTGTTAATCCACCGTCAATTGCTAATAATAAACAATAGCATAAAATAATAATGTGATTTATTATGCTAATTATATTAATTTATTATTTAAATGAAATTGCACAATTTAATTTAAATATAGAAATACAATAACTTACAAAAACTTATAAAAAATTTCATTTGTTAACTTGAATTATTTATATGAAAAACATATTTTGATGAAGCTCTATCCAAGTTCACGCATATAAATCATTTTATGATATTATTTACCTGGCTCTGAAGCATTGCTGTTTGTAAAAGATTTATAGAGATACACAGAGCTTTGAGTTTCTTCCGAACCCCCAGCACACTCTTCAATGTGATCATCGTCACATTCTAAAAAGTCAGCATTGTAACACTTAGATGATCTCTGCAAAACAGTGTTAACGTCTTGCAGTTCATTTAAATTTTTACTAGACCAACATTCAGCCCAATGAATAATGTAAAAAAAATTGTATCCTTCTTCTCTTGATTTTTTGGAACATCTGCATGCAATACTAAAAAAATAAATTCCGATATAACGTGCAATTTTGAATATAAAGTTAAGCATAAGTCAGAAAAAATACCTATGCATTGATTCTTTCATTTTATCCCAATCAAGGTCGAACCCTTGATACGAATCACTTTCCTCATCCTTATCGGTAATCAACAAGTTATGCGAAGTTGGATCGTGGAGATCTTTAAAGCAGCCAATTTTTAAAAAGTCTCGATCACATGTCACGTGATTTTTAATTTCGTCATCTAAGTGCAATAAAATATTTGATATTAAAATATATAAAACTTTGGACTTTTAAGGTCTTAATAGGGTAGACCCGGGCAATTTCGTGACTGATATTACAAGCAAAAAAAGTTAATTCAGAATACTACCTTACTACGATAATATAATACCATTTTTAAGTTTTAATCTACTCACTAATGGTGATTACTCATAATGGTGATTACAGTTGCTGTATTGTCATGGTTACGACTTGATTCTATTGGTTGTTGTAACTTTAAAATATGATTTGCAACTTAATGTTATTAACTGCACCACTCACACTTGTTCCTAATTGCATTATTAATTATTTTTTAAAATTGATTGAAACTACATTTGAACTACTTAAGTTTTTTATCTCTTAACATTATCTCACTTTTGCTGTAAATATATTAAATAGGTTTTTGTCCGAGTAAAGTATTACTGGTTGATTTCGACACATTACGGCTATTCTATTATAAGGCAAAATCACCCCGCGATATTTTTAATGGACTATTTTTAATGGCTATAACAAATATTGTACACCAAAATTTTTATTGACTGCTCTAAACAATTTTTTTATAAAACCATGGATTTATTGAGGGGGTAGTGGTATGATAAGAATGGAAGTAAAAGATAATAAAATAAGTTAAATTTCAAGACTTTAAAAATACATTTAAAAATAAAGTGGTTTTCAATTTAGTTGAAATATAATTTTTAATTTCCAAATTTTTTTTATTTAGTGTTTGAAAATACTGTCGCTCGCCATTGCATATTGTTTATAAGCAACCGTATTAATTCCAACTAACTTTATGCTCTGCCAAAACCAATCGAAATAACTCCAAGCCCTGCGAGTTATTTTTGTGAATAATATTTTATGTAACATTTACTGAAGACAAAAAAAAAAAAAAAAAAAAAAAAAAAATTAAAATAAAAAGTTAGCGTGTAGAAATTATAAAATGTAACAATTGCTAAATCTAAAGATTAACATCAATTGAAAATCATTGTCTGATTTGTGTTGGTATCTTCTGCGAAAGTCTTATTAACAAAAAAAAGAGGTGCCAAACAAATTCAAAAACTAATCTGAGTTGAGTGAGGCACTTCGACAACTTTAATGACAACTATTATTGTGTTTGGGAACTACTTTTGATTTTAAAAGGGAAACTTTTTACTTTTCCAAGTTATCAACAAAAACCTCTTTAACATCTAGAAAATCTGGTTACATTGAACAAGATTTTTTTGTTGATTGCTGAAACCATTTCATTACACCGAAAAAAGGATAATTTTTTTATCTATTTAAATGGTCATTAAAATCGCATCTGATTGGAAGCTGTCGATTTCTGTACCGATATATAAAACACGTGAACACGTGTTTATAGTGTTGGAGGCATTCAAATTGTAACAAATTTCAGCTTGAAGATACAAATTTTCCATTGTTAAGAAAAATCTTTCCTTCTTGAAAAAGGTTTTTAACCCTAACTCACACAAAAATGCATGTATAATAAGTGAACCATTGAAAAGCTAAAGAGTAAGAAAAAAAATGAACTAAAGAATAAGAAATCTCATTTTTTTCTAACCGAATACAAGCGAGTAACTCAAAGAAGAGGAACTCATCATTCAATCAAATAAAAACTAGCAGTTTGGATAAAAAAAATTCTTGACCAACCCACTACAATAAAATCATTTGAAAATAGGAAATTCTTGTCTATATTGAGTTTAAAACCATTATTCATGCGATTGCAACCAAAATTAAAAGCTAATAACGTCAACAGTATAAAAGAATTCATTGTTGCGTATTGTGTAGCATGGGTGGCTTTATCAGAGGACTGGCTCCAGTGCGTTTCTTATAATGAGTGGGCATGTGAAGTCTGCTTTCTTGATATTTGCGCAGAATGTTCTTTTATCAAAAATAAAATAACACAAATTTCTAAATTTTTTATATAGGTGAAATCACCACTATTCTTTCCTGTAACAATAAAAAATTTTTTTATACAAAAGCACTTTTTAAAAAATCTTTTTTTAACTAAAAAATATTAAATTTAAAAGACAAATAAATTTATAAACTGTACCTTCCTCACATAGAAAAAGACAAATAAAGTTAACCAAAACAAATTTGACCAAAACATGCTTCTAAAAATACCAACAAAAGAACTTTAATTAAGTTTATATTTAAGATAAGCTTAAATAAATAAAAAAAAAAACATGATCTTAAATTGCAATACACGACAATAAATTAGTTCACCATGATAAGTTGATAATTCTCAACTAATTCCGTACTATTTCGTACTCCGTATATTTATTTTATATCCGTATATTTACTATTCCGTACTACAGTAACTAGTATATCTTAATTTTGTTATAAAGCGAGTCCAAGTGCTGATGTGATCAACTTTTTATGCATTAGTTTATATATAATTGCTAAATTCATATGTAATTGCTAAATTCAAACAGGTGCTACGCAACAATACATAATATCTTTTTATTGACATATAATCTTGCATTTTACTAATCGCTATGAGTTATATTGTAAATAGATTTAGTCATAGTTGTAAAGTTATAAGCACAGATTTATTGAGCTCTAGTGTTATTTTAGATTATTTAACCACGGATGTATTGAGCTCTAGTGTTATTTTAGGTTATCGAATAAAGCTATTATTAAAAATTATGAGAAGATACACAATTTTTATTCACATTTACTTAGAGCAAAATAGGTTGTTATTTTTAACAAGAATGTTGTTTTTAGCATTTCTTTTATTTTAAACATTGAACAAGTAGCAATAAATATTTTATTGTTAACAAAATGTTAGTTTTTATAAAAATCGAAAAATAACAATTTTAAAACTAGTTAACTTGTTTCTCTACTCCCAATTATTTAAATTAAATATTTTACTAAATATTTATATAACCTAAATTAAAAAAAATTTTTTATCAGTATGTAATATTAAAAAATATTTCCAACAATTTTTTTTTTTTAATTTAACGTTAGTAGGGTCTAGTTGATAATGATATTAGAGCGAACAAGAGCGGGACTAATTTAGCAATTTTTACTAAATCTAATAGATATTATAAATTGTGTATCGGATTTACATAACTCTCTCTTTATTAGAAAGAGAGCATAACCTGCTTAAAAGGATTTAAGAAAAAAGTATATTTTTTGATTTGCTTGAAAAGATATTGTCTAAAGTTCACCGAGCTACTCAACCCACATCAACGGGGTAAGTTGAGCAAATGTGTGGGGCAAGACGAGCAATAAACAAATAAATGAATATACATGATATGGAACTTGAATAAACATCACTATTGTTAACAGTAAGCGGGTCTAAAAGTTATAAACTTTTTATTTTAAACACATTAATAACGTAAGTAAGAGAAAAGAAAAATTAAATAGTAAGAAAATGTCATAAAATATAAAAAAATTGTTTTTATACAATTATCTTGAACTTTGAAGCCAGATTTAAAAATGTCCCGCGGTATATCATAAAAAAAAATTACTGGATGCATCCCATCGCCCCTTAATCACTATTAAAATAATAAGAAAAATAAAGTTATTATTTCTAGTATTCACAAAATATTTTTTAAATTCTGTTTTTAAGACAATTCACAAATCAAACAATTAAAAACAACAAAGAAAAAAAAACATTTCTGGATTTGGTATCAAGTTTTTCTGACGTTATACCAAGACTTTACGAGCTTTTCTAGCATCAAAGTTGGAAGTTACATTAGTGTAATTAAATTTCTTTGTGAGAACTGTTTCGATTGAAAGAATAAGACAGTCGTTAAGACAATCCTATCCCATGGTAGCTCTTAGAAGGTTCTTGAAGAGAGCTAACTTGCAACTATAACTTTATTTAAAAGATCTCTCGCTTCTAACTTGCAAAAAGATCTTTATCCACAGTTATTGGTAAAGTAAGAAAGATATGAAGACAGATCTGGGGGAAGTTTCCTTTAAATCCTTTTGCATAAAGCTATTCAGAAGCTCTAAGAGCCAATCATTTGTCAGTAGATGGCGTTGAACAGATGAAAATAGGCGGAACTCATCAATAAACCTGTATTTACTAAGATTATTTGAATACAAAAGTATAAGATCATTAGCTTTAGATTTTTGACTGTTTGTCTAAATTGATATCGAGCATGGAATAATTTATATTGCTGTTTCAGAGCTTGATATTTCTCTATAATCAGATGGATGAAAATATCTATTCCAGAGTTGAATACGTCGACTTCAAATTCTTTTGATGCATGATTTTGAGAACAAAACGTGTAGCTAGGTTCATTGTGAAACGTTTTTGTTCTGCTTTTCCTTTTTTCAACAAAATCATTTTCTCAACCAAAGTTAGTAGATACTTTTTTTGACTTGTCCAAGCAGGCATCCCAGGAGGAACAAATTTGAATTATTTCTTCAATATATCCCTCTATAAGTTTTATCTCGTCATCCAAATTGATGCAAATTTGAAGAAGGATGCAAGCATTGTTCACAGCTTTCAAACATTTTAACAAAAAAGAAGCAAAAATGACAACCTAAACGGACCTTATCTACTTGAGAAGAGAACCTATTTTGTTTAAAACGTCAGCAGTGAGATCCATTTTTTTTAGTTTTTTCAACGCTTTGATGATCTCTCTCGATCTCTTTGAAAGTGGCTTTATAGATTCAATTTAAACGCTCCATCTTGTCTATGAGGTTTGGTGTATAAAAAAGGCCAGCAGGATCCTGAAAAGTTTTCCAACGTGCGTAGTTTTTGCTGAAAACATTGTATTAAGTTGGATGTTTCCAAAGTATGACTTAGCCGGAACAGATGATTCCATAGCGTGAACCCCACATATATTGAAGCTATGAGCGACACACAGAAGAAATTTGTTTGGCGATTAAATATATATATGTATATATATATATATATATATATATATATATATATATATATATATATATATATATATATATATATATATATATATATATATATATATATATATATATATATATTTAATTTACTTTAATTCATCGAGCACTCTCGCGAGGATATATGCAAGCACTAATACGTATATATATATATATATATATATATATATATATATATATATATATATATATATATATATATATATATATATATATATATATATATATATATATATATATATATATATATATTGATGAGACTTGATTTTTCCAATTAGTTTTCTCTGATGCTCTTTGATACCACCTCTCCAGAATAACAACGACAAAATGTTGTTCTTATGCAGGTCATAAGAAAATCCAAAAAGAGAACAAGAGATGCAGAAAAGGTTCATTCCATTGAAGCTAGTTCACTCGAAAATATTATACCTGCAGAAACGCCATCGTTTTGATGAGGATTGCTTGATAGTCCTTAGTAGCTTCAATTGGCCGGGCCTGGTCAGTTTCTTTATTGGTTACCGCATATATCTCTTGATTTTCATTTGAATGGTTATCTGAAGGACTAACTTGGCTCTGGCGCACAAAATGAACTGAACTGACACTCCAACTATCTTTACACAATAGTTGTGATTCGTTAGAGAGATACTTTGGATTATTACTGCTTTCAGAATTGAATTTAATTCTTAAAGCCTAAAGAAAGAAGTATATTTGAATATATCATCAATATATTACTCGACATTAAAAGCAATTAATATATTACTTGACATTAAAAACAATCAAGCAGGAATGTTATCTGATTATTATACAAAATGATAAAAATATTACCTGAAGTTGGTGCTGAGACTCTTTTTTCATACAGATTTTTTTAGTCTCTTCTTTTTCCATCCTGCTTCGCGTGAAGGCTGCTTCCGTTTGGTTAAAGAGTTGGTTGTAGACTGATTAGTTTTCATTACATATTCAAAGCACAAAACTATAGAAAAAAGTTCTATTTATGTAGTGTAATAATTCCTACATAAAAAAAATCTCTTAGGACAATCATTTGTAATATTCGTTTTGAGAAACGGTTAATAATTAACGATTGCACCATTAACAATTCTCTTTCGACAATTATTTGTAACACTCTCTTTGACTACTAATAATAATTGCAAAACAACTCCCTTCGAGATTAATTCCGCACAAGGAATCCTGGCACGAATGAAATGAAATCCATAACGTTAAACTTAACTTAGTTAAAAAGTTGATACGAGAAACTATGACTTGTTTAAAATTATATAATTAGTTATAATAATTTATTAAATATACGGTAATAAAAGTTAAACATAAAAATATTTAAAAAATTAAAATAAAGTTTTTACTATTCTTTTTCCTGTTATATATATATATATATATATATATATATATATATATATATATATATATATATATATATATATATATATATATATATATATATATATATATATATATATATATATATATATATATATATATATATATATTTATATATATATATATATATATATATATATATATATATATATATATATATATATATATATATATATATATATATATATATATATATATATATATATATATATATATATATATATATATATATATATATATATATATATATATATAATTATAGACGTTTTCGTTTTCGAGCGATTTATTTTCCGACCTATTTTATAGATTTTAATTTTTAACCGACTATCTGGTCTGTGTTTTTAACGTTACTTTTTTAAACTATGGATTTTTTTTTAATTAACGATCAATAAGTTTTCCAAGCATTCATTGAACTTTATACCTCCCGATTTTGAAGATAGCGCTTCAACCACCGCGTCAAGGCTGATCAAATTTTACTCGTATTCAAATTAACAACAAAAATATACTTTTGAAAATTCAGTAGGTCAATAAAACAGTAGGTCAACGATTAAGTATAGGTTGAAAATTAGTAGTACATGTTTTAATTAAGTTTAAATATAAAAAACAAAAATTGTCGGTTAAAAATTAAAAACGTCATGAACAACAATTTACGAAATTTCAAAATTAGGTTGAGTTATAGGCCACCAAATTCCGCTATTAGTTGAACATTTGATAAAAAGTTACCTTTATCTTTGAGTGAACCATTTACTACCAATATTTTTGAGTGAACCCGAAAAGAACTACAATTTTTAGCTAATTTCAATGTTATTTTAGTTTTTGCCCAAAATTTGTTGCCTTTTGAATATTTTCGAGTAACATAGTATCTTTTTTTTTTCTTCCTCTTTCTATTGTTTCAAAATAAAGCAAATATTTATGTGAACCTCGGAGATTTCATGTTTCTTTATCTTTTTGGTAGCTTTTTAATTGTTTTTAAGAAATTAATAATTAATCGTTATACATGTCCAGTAGTAATAGTTAATTTTTTAAAGGAAACAACTACATTTTCTGCTTTTTTACATTCAAATTTATTAATCTTTTTATTCATATTTAACAAAAATTCTGGTCCTTACAATCAA